GGGAAAATATATGCAAACATCTTCACACATTCCTGGTCGGCCCTTTTTTTTTATTCAGAAACTGCATTTGATAAAACGCCAAATAAAAGCAAAATCAATTTTGACTTTTAAATATTCACTAGGATTTTTTGTGACAGAATGTTAAAACAAAATTCATATCGGCAACAATGATTATACATTACTGAAAAGTGATGAATGTTGATTGAATTTAAACTTTATAAAAGCTATCGCATTAACTCACAATTTCATTTATTTTTAGTTGTGTTATAGACATCACCACATGTACACTTCAAAGAAGTGAATTCTATATCTACAGTGAAACCGGGAAATAATGAACCTTGAAATAATGCTGTCCCTGGCATATGTGCTATAACTCACTCAGGCACAGAGCAATTTCTTATCACTGGTTGAACCTGAAAATAGCACAATCCCTGCAAATTGCACCACCTTTGCTTCAGTTCCAGTGGTTTGCATCATTTCCATGTTTCACTGTATTATATGTTCCATATTGTTGTTGTTTTGATGCTCATATCAATTCAGGGTTGTGCAAAAAATATTTCATTGTTTATCATGTCAAAACAGTTTAAAATGTCATGCATCTTTAATATGTAACTTTTGATGTTAATTTTTTAAAATCTGTCATTGTCATTGTTATTTTTTAAAATATTTACTTTTTAAAATTGACTTCAAAGATTTCCCTATAATATAGTTTTTTTTAAAAATCCAGAGCAATATTAATTGACTGATTTTGGATTGGCTTACTTAAGCATGTTTCATAATATTTATACAATTAATAAAAAAGACATGGTTAAGTGTGGAGTTGGTGGAAAAAAAGATTAAATTTAGAAGGTTATCTAATGTTGTAATTTAATAAATATCTAACACAAGCCACATTTTGTCATAATTTTGCTAAACTTTCCTACTTGAAATTCCCTTGCATTCCATATAATTAGAAATGTTGCATCATACTGTGAAACTACATATCACATTTTTTTAAATTCCCTTTGTTGCTATTATTTGCTGGTTTTTCAATGGATTGATATAATGGTTTCAAGTTCCTTTCATTTTTTTTATCAACAAGATCCTTCAATTAAGTCACCATTCGTCCTTTATAAATAATATTTTTTGAATAAATTCAAAATAATTCAAAAATTCCCTTTTTTAAAAAAAGAATAATTCACATAAGATTACACTTTGTAATAAACAATTTTTACAACTTCATGCAACACAACGTTAGTTTTCAAGAAAATAATTTTGTTCAGCTTCTCAAAATTGGCATCCTGTCAAATATCTTCTTGAATGAACTCTGTGAAATGGGTCAGTGGGTAATATTTATCTATCAAAAGCACTGTTCAGCTTTTTGCATTTTTTACCATGCCCTTTCTTAATAGTAATAGACTTATTTGTCTGAAATTTTCATTGATCATAAATAAAATACTCAAAAATTCAGAGATAAACTTATAGATAGTTCTTTTCTGATACAGATATCTAGCACCAAAAACAATCTTCTTGGTTACATTTAAGAAACAATTATCTAAAAATTATTCTCAACTTCATCATAAGACTTGCAATTATAAATTTGAAAGACTTGGTGGAGTTAAAAAAATAAGTTACAAAAATCACAACGTAACACAATTATGATTACATTCATTTTTTTTGGGAAATTATCTTTAGGTTTGTTAATATGTTTGTATGCATTTTTTTTTTAGGTTGTTCCAATATATTTTTGTTCTTAATCAGTAACCACTAGATCCACAGAGTGCCTTGTCACCGCATCCATTTAGACCATTTTATGATTAAACTGATGTATTGTTTTACTTCTGCTAGCTAAAGGGTTTTGCAGAGTTAATTTTATATATACAAACAATTTATCTTGGTGATTATGTTTACAGCTGTTTATGACAAGCAAATATTTGCCTTATTGTATTGTATATTTGATCATAATAAAAGTGTCCAGATGTTTGTTGACTTGAAATGAAGTGGTGTGGTCTTTTGCTTTTTTTTTTTTTTTAAATGACAGGTTGTTGACAACTTGGTTTACACTTCCAATTAATATAATATTTATTGTTTACTGTAAGAAGTAATTAATTTTAGTTTGTGTCTCGTGAATAGGTTTTAAATGCAGTTAAACGAGATACTTAACTATCAATTTAAACCAACCTTGAGCTGTCTGTGGCCTACATTTAAAAAAAAAAACTTACTGGGACCGAATAATTTTTTCCTCTTTATCTCCTGGCAGCATATTGTTGAACACAAACAAGAATGACCCATTAAATACAGTATTCATCTCAGGAGCCAACATCTGGTACATCCTTGTAGGTCAATAGGTGCATTTTTTGGGGTTATCTCAGGAATCAATGGTGTTGGGAAAGAAATTTCAATATTTTAAACTATAAAAAAAAAATTAAATGGTATTTATGACTATAATGCAAGAATATATTTTTTTTAAATCTCATAACTGATTGGGTTCATTAAATTATTTTTCAGCTCCAAAAAATAAATTATTAATACATTTTATCACATCTTATTTATATTTTTGTGAGGGGGGTGTAGGTGTGATGGATGGAAGGGCAGGATCACAAACACTTGGGCAACCAGGGCTGAACAAAAAATATCAAAATCTATGCTTAATTATTCATGAAATCATGGACCTCAAAGATCCAGAGAACTTTTTTCCTTGACCTTGATGTTCTAATTTTATGAGGCATAACTAGGTCATTGGGTACATGTAAATCGAGGTGGGTGAAAAAATCTTTGCGCCCAATTAAAGGACCCAAGGCTTCTAATATGTCTGAGCACTATTCAGCCCAAAAAAATCATTCACTTGTGTTTGTCACATAAATTTGGCTTGTTACTATTTTTCACTGGTAATTTATTTTAAAAGAGGTCCAGAGCTTGTCAGACACATCAGGAGAAATTGCCTTATAATATACAAATCAGTTCAGTCTTAAGAACAACAGCATTTCTTAGCATTCTAAAATTAAAATTAGATTAAATCATTAATTTTTAAATAACAATGTGGGGAAAAAAAAAACAGTAACTCAGTAACATCATTTGTTTATATATCTCAATTTTTATTGATCAACTCAGTCATAAAATACAATTTTTTTCCATTCATATAAGTGACATGCATTTAATAAAAATTACATTAAAACAGTAAGAAAGTAATCATCGCCCCTGGTGATAAAATGTATGCCTTGTAATGACATGATTATTGACTTGCAGACTTCTCAAATATGTTTGTAAAACAGAAACCATTTACAGCTCCCCTCATTTTCCAAATGAAAAAAAAAAATATTTGACGATCACGATTATTCAAGACAACTACGGTTTCCTGAGGGTGAAATTAAACTTGAAAAAAAAAAATTTCAAGTGTAAGTAAGTCACCACTGAATGAAAATTCATAAGCAACGTTGTATAGTTTGTGATGTCAGAAAATCGCCTATTTTAAAAAATTTCGCAAAATTGTACTAAATTTTAATGACACAAAAAATTATAAGCTGCAAGCATCTGACCAAAAAGAAATTTAAGATCAATGGAGAAACTAATTTTTAAATATTTTTTATGTACTCTGATCTTGAACAATGATAGTGATAGCTTAAAAAGGATAATTAAATTTTTGGTCAAAGGACTTTACCTTAGTTCCCTTAAAACCATTGAGATTGCAACATGGAAACACACAGCTTTCAGGGGACCAGATCAAGGAAAATATCACAAAAATGACCATTATCTCAGTAAATATTTTCTTTATCAGCCCGGCTTTTTTTTCCTGCAATGTTCACAAACACAACTTTCCCACTGAAACTTCTTTTAATGTCAGATTTAAATCTATAGATTGAAATTATTTTTTTTCACAACAAATAACCAATTTAACCATGAACAAAGTAAAGCATTCCATTTTATCAAGCCCTCACACACTGTTTCAATGAACAGAACTCTTTGTCCCCTTATTTAGGTTAAATACATAGGTTACGCTGGACACTATTAACTTGTACAAAGTGCTAAATACACATTTCAATAGACCAATAGAAAAACTAAACACACTTAAATGTACACTAAACATAACAATCACAAGCAAATAAATGCAGTTACTATGGCTTAAGGTAGTATTTTAATCCACACAATAATATGAAAACTTTGCAATCCACACTGACAGATTCACTTAACATACCTCAAAAAATGGATCTGTTGCAAAAAAAAAAAAAACAAAAAAAAAAAATACTATGGCTTAAGGTAGTATTTTAATCCAAAAAAAAAAATGAAAACTTTGCAATCCACACTGACAGATTCACTTAACAAACCCCAAAAAATGGATCTGTTGAAAAAAAAAAAAAAAAAAAAGAATCCAAACCTATTTTTTAAACAGTGCTTCTCAAACTTTTCATAGTGGTAAAAGGCAGGCACCAATGACCATAATTATAGATTATTTTTCCTTTTCGAATTTCTTACACTGTTCAACTTTTTGGCGACTGTCAACAAAGAGCTTGAAATCTGCTAACCACCACTGTGGGAAACACTATTGTTAGGAGTTCAGGAATCACAAGAGATCTTTATTTTTTTAAAAATATTTATGTATTATTTGTATATTTTACAAGGTTACATTACATGTTTAAAAAGTTATGCTGCATCTTTAGGACATCTTTTTCAGTGTATGTCATCATCCTAACCTATAACAAATCATCCCCATCTAAGAATGAGAGCAGCAAATGTAAACAATAAGTCTTACAAGACATGTCCTGTTTAACATGTTCTCATAAGACAGTGTACACTATTTTGACACCTTTATTGCTATTAGATTATTCTTCACCAGAAAGAAAATAAACAAATGGGATTTCATATAAAAAAAAAAAACAACAACATGGTTTTAAATTAAACACTTTTCCCCCCAAATTTCTTTCAGATATCCACATTTAAAAACATTGATATTAAACAGAATTATACCAACCAATCACCAACATGTTAGGTAATATGCAAAGATCACACTATGCATCTTCTAGCTCTTGTAAACAAGCACGTTTGCTGTGCATAGGAAGTTTTCAAAAAATATTTTGAAACATGGACACATTGAAAAACAATAATTGGTTTTTGTTATGCAAAATAATGAATTTTTGGATTATAATTTTAAACATGCAAAGATAAAATATGCAGGACAAGTGAACAGAAAGTTGTATCACAATCATTGCAACATTTGTAGCAATGAGCTTGAAGAACATATAAGGGACATACAAGTTCCAGAGATACATTTTTTTTTGTTTAACATGCCAAACTGCCCATCTGTCATTTTCACACATTCCTTTTCTGCTGTACTGTGCTCCCCTAGAATCACAGGTTTTAACCAGACCAGCATTTTCATAAGAAACACACAAGTTAAGCCTTTCAACTTATGCCCGTAGCAGATTTTTCTGTACTAACATTTCACAAAGCCATTATGAAAACAAAGCAAATATGAAAAAAGAGAATAGAGCTCTGACCATTAAATTAAGCATTTGTACATCAACTCCAGGCAAAACAAGATGGGAAGATAGATAAAAATTAAAAATCATGAGCTGTGAATAAAATATTTTTTGTTTTTCCGTAAAATCAGTGATGCTTAAATCATTTCACGATGAGTTATAAAATCTGAAAGCTTCTCCTTAATATTTATATATTTCCTACACACAACAAAACTGGCTGGACATAACATAATATATAACCTTCAGGGCATAGTTTTATAATCAGGAACATGATTTCTATTTAAGATGTACAACTGAAATATTTAGATCTTTTAGCTGTGATGCCATCTGACAAAAACGTGTCATTTTTACAAATCAATTTTTTTAATACTAAGTTTATGTAAGCCCTTCATCAAATCTGGTGTCTCAAAGCTGAGTCCCATGAAATTAAACTAAATCTCTTAGACGCAGTCAGCAAGGAAGAGGCTCCCCATCAAATTTACATGCCACCAATGTCTTCACAGGTGTGCCTTAAAATTTTGGGTTAACTTTTTCTACTAATTTCAAAAAGATGTATAAATACAGCAACATATCATCTGAGGCAACACGGACAGTTTACAAATTATAATAAAAAGAATAAAAAGTAAATTTTTGAAAAAGTGTGATTAGGTAACCTGTGAATGAAAAAAAGAAAAAGGAGTTTAAAAAAACAACAACAGAGAAGAAATAAGCACATGAGCTAACTGGAACAGAGCCCTTACTTCAAGGAAGACCACCCCTATGGGTATGAGGTATTATATAACAACAGGACACAAGTGGGTTGGGGGGGGAGGAGGTGGCAGTACTGGTAAGTTACAGATGATTTGAACAAGAGTAACAACACTATCATTGATTATGTCTGAATGGTTTCTCAACCACACGCTGTGAGACGACAGTGGCAGCTATTTGTGCAAGAACAAAAATGTTAAGACGAGTGCATTAAAAACTTGAGAGAGCCCACCTGATGCTATAAAAATGATCTGAGAGGACACTCACACAATCATGCACGTGCAAAAAAAATTTATAATTTAAATATGAATAAAGGATTTATGGCTCTGATGGTGCTATTCAGCTCAAACACAAAGGTTTAAAAAATGTTTAAGGTTTGGGTTGTGAAGTTCTTACATTGGTCTGCATTGGGGCCGTAACTTTTTTTCCTCTCTAATTTTTCTGTGCACTAATAAGCACTGTTACTTTCAATGACTAAAAGAAGCATTAAAAAGGGCCTTAATTGTGAAAATAAAAATGTGCACAAACTTGTCAACAATGGCAAGACCCTGGGCTTTAATGGTCAACCGTGACTAGCATCTCATCAAATCAAAGTATTTCTACATAACCAGGTGTACACAGTATACGGGCAAAGTAGGTCACACACAGTACAAGAAAATCAGATTGAAGTTGCTTCCAGTAACATAGTTTGGCCTTGCGCAATACTCACTGTCTGAAATTCAACATTTGTTCCAGGAATCACGAGTTTTGAACTTCCCCAAAGGCGCATACAACTAATTCCCTGTGATTACAAATAACAAATCTGGACCAACACCTTCCAGTGCAACATTAACTTTGCTCTGCTGTTCTCACCTCATGATACAATTTAAATAGTTTTTAATAATTTACATTTTCAGAACGAACCATTAAATTTGAGTCTTCTAAGCATATAGTTATGCCACACTGTACACAGTGCCTATGCTAAACACTTCTCAAACCATCATCACGTATGTTTTGACCTATTGCCGCCACCCCCATTGAAATGGTTTGGACTAATCTGTGGGAAGGGCTCCTCCTCTGCCGCCTGGGGTATGGCGGGCTGCACCGAGGCTGAGTTGCTGGGTTTCCTCGACAACATCGGGGACGGGGACGCCTGCTTGCTCTTTCGAAAGGAGAACCTACGCTTTGAGTTCGGGGTTTGAATGGTTAGTGGGCCTTCTTCGACTTCGCTGTGAGATGAAGTCATGAATAATAGGGTATATTTGTTAGCTGAGTGTTCATTTTAAGTTAAACAACATAAACACTAGCTACACAATTAACAAAAGATGCTGACAGAAAGGAACAAATTAATTGCAAAACAGTTTGTATGTGAAACTCAAATTACATATTTTATAATCATAATACCAAAGTTTGAGTATTCAAGTTGTTTTTTTCTAAATTTTTACTTTTTCTTGTGACATCTCCAGAGAGATGCTTAACACAAAGAGTTAAACAGGTTTGAGAATTACGTCATTAATTCAATTTTTTTTTTAAACTTAATTTTTTGAACAGATGTTTTATCCCTAGCAACAGCATTTTTTTAAAACCCAGATTCCAGATGGGGGAGAACATTCGGTCAACACAACCATAAGAAATTCTAATTTTTCCCCCACACATTTTTGCTCTCCCAGACATTACAACCTCACAGTCATTTGCAAGAAAGAAAGAAAGAAAAACAATGTCTACTGACATTTTCAACTTATTCCTGGATGATCACATTGCTACCACTCTAATTTAAATAATAATCATAAATACAAGGACCCTACGTTCAAGACTATCGAAATAATCAAACTGGATATTTACTTTTAAACTTCATGAGTGAATTTTTTTTTCTTTCCAGAGTTATTGGCTCCAATGTAAATGACAGCAGCACACATATTAATGATATTGTCAGTTAAAGGTCTTGAATCTATTACATAAACTTATGTCTTAGAATTTGAATTCTTCTCCAAGTCAAATAAACTGATACAAGTAGGTGGTGCCGCTGCTGCGCAATCCGGAAATACGTGACGACTGACATTAACAATGATCTAATTGACAACTTGACTTTTAAAAAATGTTTTAAAGCGGATACATTTAAAAATAAAGTAATTTGTTTTACAACAAGCATTTTAAAACAATGGAAACAAAGCTGCAACACATAAGCAGTTGACAAATGTTTAGTAGTGTAATACCTGCAGGTGCTAAAATTGGTTACTTTGTACTTGTTGCTAGCATTAAAGAACAGGAATTAAGCTATATCCATCCTATCTTGATATAAATCACAGATTGACAAGAAAGATTAGTTCCCTTTTTTTACAATAAATCCTTGTGAAAACATATAAGCAATTTTAGCAATAAATTGAATGAGCATTGGACATTTCAGGCAAGTCAATCTCAGTAAATAACCGCACATGAATGATATTGGTTTGCAATGAGCGGGTAGATTTTACTGTATCATATGCATTGATTTTTATATTATATGAATTCACTTAATCAATATCCATCCTTGGAGATTTTTTTAAAATTCGAAATGTTGAACACAGTCTTGTGAACGATTGATTTTTTTTTTTGACAGTAGCCAAATACAGTGCTGGTTAAACCTAAAAAAAAATATTTTAAAATTTCTAAGTCCAATATCATCAGGGTATTACACCACCAAAAACTGGCTTGAGAACCTGGAATGTACATATCACAAATAATATGCACTGAGTTAGTATTTTTAAAAAAAAATTTAAGCCATGAGGTTTTTAGTGAATAACAAAGCAAATCTGGAGGTCTGAGTAATGAAAGGAGGTGACAAACAGCAAAAAGTTCCACACCATTCCAACCACAATGGCCGGGGGGGAGGGGGGGGGGTTGTTTAACTGGCTGGAAATAATTCATCAGTTTGGAAAGAAATTCAGTTAATGAATAAATAAATGGATTATTCCTAAGTAAATGATTTGTTTTAGAAAGCAATTTACATGAAACATTGAAGCAAGGTGATATAAATTTGTCTCACAGACAAGCTCATCAGAGTGATTATAAATAATTTATCACCATGTCCAAACATTCCTATTTCCCTTTGATTCTCAACATTTAAGGTGAGGTAAAATATGATCACAATTTTTCTGGTTCCACCAATTTAAATCATATTTGCATAACTCACATATACATACTTTAAATAAGAAAACCATTAAAAAAAAAAAGTTTTAAGCATCAGCATCAAACTGGAGCAATTTTTTAAAATATACATTTCCCATTTTAAAATATACATTTCCCAAGTTAATTAATTTTGTTTTTCCACAAAAAAAAAGATGCAAAGCATTAAACAATGTCATATTGTTATTCTAGTCTTTTGAAAAGTCATGAATCTTGCTGATGTCTGTTACTGAAAAAAACTCTTTTTACACCATATGTGCTAACAGGTCAACTGATGAATTAGCTATTTGGCTGAGAAATATATTAAGGTGTGTTAAGTTTTTTAATAAATAATCAACATGCTCCTTTATGCCCATCAATAACATTTTTAGAAATATTACATACATTAATAACACATTTTTTAAACTGCACTGTCTGCAAGTGTTTCTGAAGATTCAACATTACATGGATTGTTCATTTGTGAAAATACTACTTCCCTCACTTTTATCATGCTCAATGAAAATAATTGGATGGAACAAGATAACTGTCACTTAAGTTTGCTTGGGGGGGGAACAAAAAAAAGAGCTTTAAAAATTAACACTTTCCCAATAGTAGGTGTTGACTGAAAAATCTGATTTTTTTTTTTTTCTTTCTTTTTAAAAACAAAAACAAACAAAAAACAAACAAAAAACCAGAACAGACAACCTTTATATAAAAAGAGTTAGCTCTAATTTAACTATGATAAAGCCAATTATTTCAAAGATATGAAAATCTACCAACAATACTGCTGTGGGTTTAAAAAAAATACAAAAAAAATCTCAAAGAAACAAGTATTCTATATGTTGTGTGGTCTCTGACTAGGGTGTTATAACTATAAGCATGACTGGAGTATGTTATAAGTATTGTTTTCCAATGAATAGGTTATGACACAAAACATGTAAAATATTGAAAATGATTTTTAGAACAAGGTAAAAAGAACACTCTTCGGCTTGCATTTTACAGGAGTGGAGAGCAAACAGCAGACTAAAAGTTTATACAGAAAAATTATTGTTTATAGCACAAACAATAAAAGTGATTCTGTGATGAGGAACCTCAATGTGTTGTTAGTGTGTTGTTTTTTTTTTTTTTTTTTTTTTTTTTGTTTTTTTTTTTTTTTTTTTTTTTTTTTTTTTTTTTTTTTTTTTTTTTTTTTTTTTGTAAATTGATTGAAGGACAAATTAATCTGGAATTCATGTTAATTGTTACAGATGGTGAGTACAGGTCTAGTTGGAAGCCTCTTTTTTTTGTGTACATGATTTAGTTAATTAGCATGAAGAGGCTAAACATACAACTTAGTAGAAGCAACAAATACCAAGTATAAAAGTTGTTCTTTTATACTATAAAGAATAACAAAATGTTAAAAAGCATTACACTCAACTATGGTCATTTAATGGACGACCAGAACTTTCAGATTATTTATGTACAGCCGTCGTTATCAATTGAAAGGCACAGGTTGAATCAAATTCAAATTTGTGGAATAGTTTTGCGTTTGAAGATGTAGGGAAAATGAAAAGGAATAAAGCTAATGGCATCAAAGCATTGAAAAAACAATTTGATCTAAAACTAAATATTCAAAATAATGTCATAAAATATCATCTTCAATTGTTAAAATAAATTTTAAACATAAAAGTTAAAATACTTTATACATATTAAAGATGATTTTTAAAAAATTAAATTTCTTAAAAAGAATCTTTCATGAAGGGCTTAAAAATAAAATGAAGTTTTTTAATACATCATCCTTTCTAGTAACAAATCCTTTTTTTTTACAAGGTAAAAAAGCTACGGAAATGAACAGGGAGGTTGAAGGTGAACTGTACAAGGTTGTGAAGCAGATGCCAGGTGTAGATACAATAAGCAAGGAGTAAAAATCTGAGATAACGGTTTCACCTCGGGGTTGCATTGCTGTGTAGGGAGTTGATGGTATTTGCCCGCCGCGTGTGCACCTGACGCTGACGTGCCAGGAAGGACTGGCCCATGGAGCTGTTGGCCAGGCGCTCCTCTGCTGCTTGCCTTTGAAGTTGCATTCCCTGAAGACAGAGATCGAAGCTTAAAATAGAGCTACAATATATCCACACAAAAAATATGTAGAAAATTCTAAAACAACCTTCATAAAATTTTAAAGGTCTTGCATCTTGACAATAAAACAGACTGGGGAAAACTCACATAAGGTTGCCAAAAATATTAAAGTATTATTGAAATGGACAAGTTAGAGCGGGAATTATGTAAGATTGACACTTTTGGATTCTGCATTAATTGGGTTTCAAATGTGTTATTATTTATAAATTTGCAATTTTTGGCCAAGAAACAAACTTTTTGTTGTGACAACAGAAACTCATCTAACAAATAAATTTTCTGAATGTCATGCCCTAAACAGGGAAAAGAAAACATTTAATTAAACTGCAAATGTAAAAAAAAAAAAAGTATTTGATTTTCATTAAAGTCTAGTCAACTACGTTGCGTAACAAGATATTGTGTTAGAAATTCTTTTAAAAAAGTGATTAATTGGCAGTAAAGGTTATAAAGACTGCCTCTGTTTTAATTAATCAACTTTGTAAACAGCTGATTGTGTCCTGGAGCAATGCTGCCCCAAAAAAAGTTATTGTTTACAGGGAACTCATTTTTATACCATATTTTTCTCAGTGGGATTTTTTTTAAATTTCCTGTTTGCTGTATATCAGACACGGAAAAAAAGGTAGTGACTAACCAAGTTGTACCATGCTGTTACAATAAGTCTTTCCTCATGCTCTCTCACAGACTTCATCTTTTCTTGATCGTTCTGAAAAATATATGAATCAGTTACAAAAAAAAAACTTGCATACCCTTGATATTTGCAACAGTCATTAAAATATAATTAGGCCGTAGAAGTCATGCCAGCAGAAAGTCAGAAGCATAAATCTGTGTCATTTTACAGTAATCTGACAACCTTTTAAAAGAGTCATAACCCGCCCCAATTTCGGACTGATAGATTAAAAATAGGTAGTAATAACTTATAAAACACTTTTACTAGTAATTTATTAACTACTAACATAAAAAGGATTTATGTAAACAAATCTAGGTAAGGGTAACCTAACTGTTCCCATGATTATGATTAAGTCTAGAATGATAAAAAAAAACAGACCTTTTTACCCCCAAACTCTTAAAATCGTATAATATCATCACAAACTCATTCAATACATTATCTTAATAGTTAAAAAAAAATAAAAAATAGACATACCGGTACAGTATATTTAATGTATACACCTCAAAAATTTACATTGTACGCCAAAATGGTAAGAGTAAACAGGTCTGTGAAAAACTATATTCAAGTATACGCAAAAGGGCATCCCTTCCTTATGAATTCATTAAAAAATTCTGGGCAGGGGATCAGCCTCCTCCCCCAACCCCAACTTTTTTTTTTTTTTTTTTTTGATTTCGGCAGGCGTCCTTAATTTCCCCTCCCCAACCACATCTTCATCCATCAAAGTGGCAAACGACAGGCCAACTTTTATTTGAAATACTGCACAGTACATAAATATTTAAATGTCAGATATCTGCTTTGAGAAGTGACCTTTATTAACTATGCGAATAGTTATTGTACACATTATAGAGTATGTTTATTTATTTACTATTACAATGCAGTATTTTATGATTTTGAGATGTTTCAGTACTATTCTGAAATTTAATTGTACTATATGGGGGAGCTCCCTTTGTAACCAGGTCTGCTACTGTATTATACACTAAACTTAGTTCAATATTCATTGAACTTTTGTTTAACCTGCGTCAAATATTAAGTTGCCCGATAAATAATAATTGCAGATCAACAAAATAGTTAAATGTCAACCAGCAAGAAAGCAAGTTTCAATGAAAATATCTGGTTTAGTGGGAGAAAGAGTTCCTCCAAGGCTTACATCTGGATATTTCAGTGGGCCATACCAACAAAAGATGCATAGGTTAAGTGACACCAAATATGTCTAGGTAGTGTGATAATTTTGTTATAAAAGCAAAGGGCACTCAAGGGTCTATTTATGCATGAATCCCCCCCCCCCCACACCCGGTCAAACTTTTCACTTACCATACAACTTTAAAATACATTTTTAACAACTTTAAATTACTTTTTAATTCAAATGCTAAAAGCCAAAGTATTCATTACATCTATTGGAATTCACGAGAATCTCATTTTTTGTATAAAAAGAATATAATAAATATCAATACTGTCCCCCATCATTTTTCGGTGCATGCAGAAAGTATGCGTGAACAAGTTTTGAAATTTCTCAAACTTTCGGTTTCAGTTAAAAGACTTGTTACGCTTTTGATTCGGCTTCAGCTTCGGTTGAAAGTGAATTTTAACTGTCGGTCTGGTTTCCGTTTCATTAAAAAAAAATATATCAGAAAATCACTTTTGGTCTGTCTCTACATTTTAGTGATTAATGAAGCAACCAGTAGCTAAGCAGTTAGAACAACAACTTTATAAAAATGACCAACAGGAGCAGAAGAAGTGCCCACCTCTAGGAAACTGATGTAGTTATCCTTTTCATGCAGCTGGTTCTTCAATGCAAATACTTCTGTTGATGAATCCAACCCGTGTCTGGGATCCAGGCTTTTTATCACCTGGAGGGGAAAATAATAAAAACAGCTTCTTTGTAGCTTTAGTCCATTTGAAGAATAAAATTTAAATAATTAGAGTGTAATGAAGTCAACATATGAAGAGATTTAATGATATTTCTAGGAGCATTGATCTACAGAAGAATCCTTTTTTTTTAATCTTAAAATTTAAAGAAGGGGAGACCACTCACATTTTTTGCCTTCTCCAAGTACTTTCTGTATTTCTCTTCCATGATGCGGATCTCCTCATCCTTCCTGCCCAGCTGGTCAGCCAGCTCCACCACCCTGTCGTTGGTGGCAGCGAGCCGAGTGCTGAGGTCGTCTATGTGCTGCTGCTTCTGGTGGAGCTGCAGGTCCCTCTCCTCCAGCCTCTGCTTGCTCTCAGACAGCTGGGTCCTCATGGACACATACTCAGAGTTGCTGGCGGCAGATGCAGACTTCTCATTCTCCTGCAGGTCCTCCAGCTCTGCCTGGACCTTCATCAGCTGCTGGTTCAGCAATCTGAAGTCAATCAAAGCAAACTATGTGGCGTGAGTTTGGGCGAAATATAACATTTTGGAAAATTTAATAAATTTGAATTGAAAAGCCCCTTTTAGCACCTTGTAAAGTGTGATTATTGTATCAATCACTTTTAAAATTAAATTATGCTCCTGTAAAACATTTAACAATCTCTGCGACACAGGGAAGAGAGAAAAAAAGAGAATATATCCTAGACCAAGTTGTTCGCATGACTTAATTTACATTAAAATAGGCGGCAGGAACGTCACTTATACGCAGAAAGATAAAAAGGGAAAAATGAATTTACAATTTTAAAAAATATTTTAAATAATCATATATTATAAACAAAAGCATACAATTAAATCAAGAACCACGGTACAAATTAGTATAGGGTTGCTCCCATTCATTGTCTGATATTTTGTTCCGAGTTACAGTGTCAATTAATTTTTCTTTTTTTTTAACTGCTTAATTTGCCATTATGTTTTCAATGTTTATTTTAACAAACCCCCCCCCCCCCCCCCCTTCTTTTTTTTTGTCTTATTAGCTGGTCTGGCACATATAACCTTTGACCTTTGAACAGTTAGTGTACAAAAAATGTATAATGAAAAAAAGTGGGGAGCCCACACAAAAAAATCAGAAGCAACTTCAAATCTATATAATATTAGTACCTGACTTCTGTCTCCAGTTCATTCTTCTTGGCATTGACCTCATCCAGCATCTCAGATGAGACGACAGCTTCATCCTGACCAGCAGAGGTTCGAATCTTAAGCATCTTGTTTTCATGTTCAAGTCGAAGAAGGCGTTCCCTGAAAAAAAAAGAGTTAGGAGTTGTTATTTCATTGTTTTGCAGCTGGTCAATTTTAAAATCAGGGAAGCCATCCCGAGGTGACAGACACGAGCCAACTTGGCATGGGATTTAAATGGGCCATCCATGTTACACCGATGCCCAAAATCAAAGATAAGTAAAGAAAACCAAAAGCAGCGTCTTTTTTTTTAAACGCACCTTATTTCAGGGGGTAAAGAGAGCATCTCCATATTGCTGCCTGGGTCATTCAGCTCGCTGGCTATACCCAAGCCTGAACTCTGCAGCTGTGTACACTTCAACTCATCGTTAATCTCACGCAGGGAGTCTCGCTCCGTCTGGATCCTCTGGGTGAAAAAAATGAAACAAGTGTTTGGAGGCATCTCTTTAAAGAAAAATAAAAAAACAGCAGAAGTGGGGTTGGGCCTGGGGCCGGAATATCTGTTCCGCTCCCATCCCCAGCCTAATGACCAGATGAAATGCACTCATCGGTTTTTCTTTGGGAACATGTCAAACCTCATATAGGAGGTCAGCAAACTTCGGCCTTTGGCCAGGCACAGCCTACCTAGTACTCCAGTCCGACATAATGCCCACATTACATCCAGCGTAATTGCATTGTAACTATTTTTTTCCCTTCATTACTGCTGATCACAACTCAAGTTGTGGCCCATGTTTATTTTTTAGAACTGACGAAAGGGAGGGATGGTAAGGCATGTGTTATGCATTGTACAGAGTGTAGTAGCTTGGCAAATAAAGGAGGCTACCTTGAAAGTTTAAAATAGGATACAAAGGGTGTGGAATAGCACTAAACAATTAACCTGCAATAAGTGTATAAATTAACAAAATAATTTTCAACTTAAAGAAAAAAAACAAAACAAAACAACAATAAAAATGGTGCTTGAAACATATAATTTTAAAACTTAGATTTAAAAACAGGTATTATATTAATTTTCTATTTTAATAAAACTGTCAGGAATTTCAAGTGAATGTAAGAGTCCAAAACTGATCTGGCAGTATAGAACCCAGAAGCTAACCTCTTTTTCCCTCTGTAATGTGGTGAGCTTCTCCTGTATTCTTTTGAACTCAAACTCTGCTTTGTCAGCCCTTTTCGTTTCTTCAGTTGACTTGTTCTGCAGCTCCAAGGTCTGCCTCTTGTAAGATTCCAGTTGCTGCTTTAGTAATGTGACACGCTTCAATTCCTTCAGACAAATAAGATAACATACAATTTAATTTTACACGAGCTGATGTTATACAGATTTAGATTACATTTAATTCAGGTCAGACTATTTGCGGTATGTCTTTTCCCCCCTCATATCTGGCTAATGACTACATTTCAAGTGTTTTAACAACCGGAGAGCATCTCAACAAATTATCATGAGGAAATACTTATGACTGGAGATTGTTTAATATAATATTGTAAATAAACACAAGAGTTCAATAATCAAATAGAGAGGGTGTCAAGATTTTTCCTCCTTTTAATCATAAGGAATCAGAAACAGAACATTGTATGCATTATTTAGCAGCATTTCAATTTTTTTCTCATCCTACATTTAATGAGGCTTAACATTTTAGAAATAAAAATTTAAGCGCATAGGACTTCTCTTAGTTGTGCATGTGAATGTACAGGCAGTGTGATGAAAGTAATGATATTGAAAAGTTTCAGAAGCTCCAATAAACATATTTCAGTCATTCCATAACTTTACTAAACATGGTATATTAAGCTTTCAGCATCTGCCTCATTTCTAAACGGTTGTTAAGTTTAGACCATTTCTACAGTACATATTTATACACAGAGTGCTAAAAATCTATTACCTCTTCCATTTCAATCTGTTGCTGCATGTACTTGGTGTTCTTCTCTTCCACCATCTTCATTTGTCCTTTCAGATCACTGAACTCCTCTGTTCAGGTCAAAGCAAAAATTTCTAATTAGGGTTGGTTTGAAAATATTTTACTTCAATGGTCATGATTTCAAAGCTTACAAACTTTACCATAGACTATCATTTTAACTCACAGAGTGTCAATGCTTGCACTGTTCCTTTTCAATATCAAATAATCTGTTGCTTATCCGAGTTTATTTTTCATTTGGAAAAAAAAAAGGGTAAGATACTCCTATAGAGCTGTAAATTAAGCTATGGCATAGGAAGAATTTGACCAACCTAATTTCTTCTTATATGACTCTACCAAAGACTCTGACTTAGCCTGAAAAAATAAATAAATAATCTCCATTAAAATTGCATAAAAGCTAGCCATGGATGTATGTACATACAGAAGAGTACTCAGACTACTGCGATAGCAAACCCCCCCCCCTGTTTTTGTTGTACATGTATTATTTACTCCTCAAAGCGGATGATCTTGAGAGTAGATTTTAAGATTATATAACGTCAAATATAAGATAAGATTCTTTATTGATCAAAATAAATGGAAATGTTTTTGATAGCATTGTAGATTTTCATTTTCAGCACATAAATAAATACATATTTAAACCAGAACAACATTTCACAATTTAAGCACAAGACATTTAAAGTATTTCCCTAGCTTAGAAATCAGCCATAAATTAACTCCTTTAGTGACTATAATGACATAATTGGTGATCTTTTAGATTTCGTAGCCACTGGGGGAGCGCGCTGGTGTAAATTCGTACAGACTGGGGAGAGCAAAATATTTTTAAATTTTTCCACCCTAACTTTACAAGAAAGAATTCTGGTATATATTGGGTAGAAAGGACCTTAAACCAACAGAACTTAAACTTAATAGCTGACACATGAAGATTTAGTATGTATGCAATGAGTTAGATAACCTCACCAGTGAGTCGGAGGTGTGCCTAAGGATGTCGAGTTCATCTTTCATGGCTCGAGACTCGGAAGCCAGCTTACTAAGCTCAGCATTCTAAAAGAAAGAACCATCAGAACTTTGATAAATACTAGGCAAATGAAGAAACATGATTCAATTAAAATGTAATACTTCTGCTTTTAAAGGAAAGTTAAAAATAAACTGAACTTTTTTTTAATCCTGACAATAAAAATAATTCCACTCAAACACTCTACCAAAAAAGGAATAAAATGATTAAGGTGATAAACATTTAATCTAAAAATGCAAGTCATTAACAATTCAGTTGAAAATGCTCCTAACTTTATTAAAAAAATCAATTCACCAAATTAAAAATCTGGCCACTGCTTACCTTTTCTTTTAACTCTGTGTAATCTTTATTTAAAACTTCATATTTTATCCGGTAGTCATCTTTGCCTGTCAAAAAAATTAAGGAACATGTTCATTTTTGGATCAACTCAATGGGATAAAAAAAATTCATCTGCAGCGAGATACCAGATGCGAAATAAAAGAAATGGTGATTAATTATTCCTACATCAGTTATATTAAAAGCAATTTACGGCTTAGTGATTTTGTTATAGATTAAAGCTATTTAAGTTAGTCAGAGTAAGTTATCAATGTGTAAACAACTAGGACAGCGCTTGTCTCTATCTCACACCTGATTCCAGTCTGTACAGCTCCTCTTGTAGGCACTCTATTTGGTGCTGTAGTTGAGCCACTCTTTTTCCAGCAGGGGTGCTGAAAGTAAACATGTTAAAACACTAAACAACTATGAACAATACATTTCTTTTTGAAAGGCACACAATATAAAGATTTATTCTTTCCTCAAATGCCTTTCATGCCTCATGTTTTCTAAATATAAATGGATAATTCTAACAGGATAATTATGAAAAGTTTGATCATTTGGATCTATCCATTCTTCACTGACTATTGAGACATTGTCAAAACCATTACCTGGTATCCTCAAAACTCTCTGCCATCTGCAGCCTTTCCTCCAATTTATCTCTATCAGCTATAAGACTTAACCTTTCCTCTTGTAAGCTTGCCACCTGGATCACACAATGGTAAATGTCTAACAACACATGATTATTTATAAATGTTATCATTGTAAGGAGATTTTATTACATATTTTTCTTTTATATCAACTACAGTAGTGACTGCCGTATTTCATAGGTTTACTCATCTGGCCTTCAAGTTATAAGTCACAAGGACAGCTCTACGCTTTATAAAAAAACTTTATGTTGGTGGAGTTTTAGTAATTTTAGAGGCAGCAAACTAAAAATTTCTAATGATGAATAATTTTATTTGAAGTGCAACAACCAGAGCCAAAACATCTACAGTCCATAAGGACTTGTGTTAAAATTGTGTTGCAAGAGCCTACCTGGGCATCTAGCTCATGGCATCGTTGTAACAGTTCCTCTTTAGCTTCCAGTGAATTGTTTAATTCATCGACTGCTTTTTTCAACTATAAGATTAAAAATAAGTTAAGAAAAGAGTATAATTGGGAGCGAAGAAAGGACAGTTTTCGCTTTAGATCGCAAGAAGAATAAGGTGCCTACATTTTGTACTGCTATTGTAATAATATCATACATATCTCCACTGTTTAATCACTCAGTCTGATGCATTATGTATTAACACTCTATACACTAATTCAACTCTAAGCCCAACCTGTTCATGAAGCTCAGACTCCAAGTCATCACCCGGTAAAGTTTCTTTAGTCATGAGCTGCAACAGAACAATTTCATTTCATTTATCAATTTAAAAACTACCGATGACATTGACTCTAAAAATAAATTTTCGACTTTAACCACAACAGCCACAGTCATTAAACAGGTTATTTTAGATTAATTTTTTTTTAAATTTAATTATCGATAGATAAAATGAGTCACCTCTTGTATGGCATTCTTGATGATCTGCTGTACATCTTCCTCCATACTCATGATGGTCTGGATGTACTTTTGTTTGTTATCACAATTAATTGCTATATTCAGCACAAGCTGAAGTAGTCTGCCCAGCTCTTGGGGATCACAGTGTTCACCTGGAAAAAAAAAATCTCTTTTTAAATGTGGAAAGCAAGGAAGCATAATGTAAAACTTACTTTTGTTTGAGTCTAGACAAAGAAATATATAATGTGGCCAAAATCTTTTGGCTTGTCGATAAAAGGGTAAGTAGTATTTGAAACAAAGCAATACAAACCTATAGCATTTACATCTGGCATTTGAAAACCTTGCATTGTCACCCCTAAGCACTAAAAAGAATAAAAGCAATTGTATTTTAATAACTTGGTGCACACAAAAAATGTCAGAAGAAGCATTAATGTCATTAAATAAAATCTGTGCAAGACCCATCAACAAGGCCCCTACAAATTCTTCTAAAATAGCGGTTCTCAACCTGTGGGCCACAACCCCTTTGAAGGTTGAAGGACCCTTACACAGTGGTCGCCACAACATGAGGAACTGTATTAAACGGTTGCGTTATTAGGAAGGTTGAAAGCCACTGTTTTAAAAAAGAATGTAAAAATTTATCAGCATATTGAATTTAATTTTTTTTTAAAGTATATTCAATTTTTATTTTTAAAATTTCAAGCACTTTCTCAAGCATTTATATGAATAAAATTTATGTTTTAACCACGCAGAAATCCAATATTTTATTATATATGTTTTAATAAAGGAGACATTCACTATATAAAGCTAAAGCAGCTATTTACCTCTAAGTTATACTCCAGTATTCCCTTGAGAATTTTTTTTAGATTTGTTACCTAAAATAAACAACATCAAATTAAATGAAAAAAAAAATATTTTTAAGAAAATCTATTTAAACACTAATTTTACAAAACATGTTTAATTTGTAAAATAATTTTGAAGCAAATAAATACCTCAAGGTAAAACATAAATTGTGATGCTTACCTTTAATCGCCAGTTGCTTAGATCTTCTGCTCTGATTTTGGAAAGCCATGATTGTGTAAAAAAATGGGGAGCACTAAGGAAAAAAAAATTTGTTTAATTCAGACAACTAAAAACATTTAAATGATAATGTAAGAAAATTACAAACTCAAGTTTTTTTTTCATCTCATGCAGGTCCAGTAAATAATTCAACAATGACCCCAGTGGTTATCTATTACCACTGCTTTAAATCTCAATCTGTTTAAATCACTCATTAAAATGTTTTGCTACCGACATAATTCAATTTTGATTAAAACATTAACACCATATTTTAAATATACGTTCACATAGACAACTGAAAATATTATATACAATGTGAATAGTGTGGGGTAAAAGTTGTATAAATTGATAGACCCCCAGAAAAACAAAGTTAAATAGCATTTATCACTGTACATACATGATGCTCAATGCCTGAGCAATAGCAACTCCATCACTCAATTCAGATGGTGAACTGTGGGGTGCATCAACAGAGAAGGTTTCCAGCTGAAGAATATAGAAGCATGTGCTCATTTTTACTAGGCTAATCATTTCCTTTAGTAATAAATTTAAAGCAAAAAAAAAAAAAAAGACATAATAAAAAAATAACTACTAAGACGATTAAAAACATTTTAATTAACTAACATTGGCCGATCTGAAATCATAACACTTAGCATTTCTACAAGACCCCCAAAGGCTTTGAAGTTCCAAATATTAAGCACCATGGCGCAACATTTATTCCGATATACACAGTGTTGATGAAACCCTGCGCTAAGATTATCTGTGCAACAGATCAACAGTTATTTACAATATATCATAAATCAACATATTTTCAATCTTTTATAAACATAATTCTTTATAATAATTTCAACATTGATAGACATTATAATTACCCATGTAATTAGACTGTAGCATATCTGTTCTCTTTCATCCATAGTGCTAATTACTGTAATGATTTGACAAATTTAGAAATGAAACTAATCAATAATCCAAATGGTATTCTGTCTACCGGTGGCTACTTTTCTAGATGCATTCTGCGCCAGCTGTTCATGCAATGCTGAATTGAAAATTAATTCACAGCTACCCTTGGAAGAAAAAATGTTAAGTTCACTAAAAAACTGCAAAATTAAAGGGATATAATATTTTCTTTGACAAGGTTATTATCTCATTGGTCATAATGATGATAGGTTATTATCTCGTTCATCATAATGATGATTGGTTACTATATCATTGGTGATAACTTATTGACTGAAGTCTTGAGAATGGGATTGCAGAAAATTAACCTTTTATTATTGTATGTTTCAGTACATTAAAAGACACAAACTTAGGTAGAAAATCTTGGGCCACTGAGTATTTCTCTGGGGTTAGCAGAGTAAAAATCTATTGTGCTGGCAGACAGATAATATATACCCTTTTAAATCAACATGTTGGTACAAAGTTAAAGCTGTCATAGTGATTACAAAATAGACACCCCAAAATTAAACTTAAGTTATACAATGAAGCCACAAGGTGATAGTGGCTAACTTTTCTTAAATTTTTTTTTTTCATTTTTCATCTGCATTCATTTTTTTTTAAAGACAAAATGCCATGATACATCATCATTGTTCCCTAATTACCTAATTACTTATAATTTGCTGCAAATTATAAATCATAACCAAATTTATTTTTTTTGGTGAACTTAAGTTTTTATCATATTGATCCCAAACTACTTTTTTCATGAAATAATGTCACAGATTATCATTAATATAATGAATCAAATTTATTTAATTTTTGTTTTTATTAGTTTAGAAAATTTAATTTTTAAAATAGGGACTTAGATTGCTATTATTGGGTTGAATAGGGTTGTATAAATAAATACATAATTTATACCTGGCAGCATCCATTTTAATGATGCCAATAATAATGTGTATCTCAAATGTGGAGTACAATAAGAGAACACAATAAAATCATTCCCAACATGGTGAGAGTACAGATTTTGTATAATGGGACATTGTGTTGATCACGGACAGAAAACTATTGTCATAACACATCCCACTTACTGATTAAGTACTAAGAATTGCATCTATACCAAAAAACTTTGTTTAAATTTTGTATACATATTATAAAAATGGCAGAACCATAAAAACATAAGATATTATATGTTCCATTTGTGGATTATTCAAGAATGATCACTTAAAAATTCTGACCGATGTCAAAAATAGGAAGATCTCAAATAAGCTCATGCACATTTGAACAAAAAGTTATTGAGCCATTGGAATCCCAAAATATACATCACACTATGATTATGATGAGACAGACACTGTCTTAGTGTGTATACGTACTCTACTATCTAAGAATAGGATAGGCCAACCATGTTAAGTTATTATGTCACTTTTGATGTTGTGTGGCAGTGTTATGTAAACAGTACTCTCAATATTTATATACTTTTACTACTATTATATACCTTGCGTATCTTTACTATAGATTATTTTACTTCAGCACTATAATAACAACAAAAAAAGATGCCTATTATATTAAGAAACTTTAAGATTTAAAAAATGAATGTAAAAGTTGTTAAGTTATGTCAATATTGTTTAGTTTAGGCAACCAGGCTACCTGTCACCTGTATTGTACTCTAGTTACCTTAAGCCTTAGCCTAGCCTTAGGCTTAGTTCTTAATGATCTTATCAAACTTAATGATTAATTTGGTCAATTTACTTTCTCCATGCCATGAATTGTGTCTGTTTAGGATTCTCTCTATTTTGTTGATCTTCTTCTGGTTACTAGAGTTAAATTTTCCTTAATACTATGCTGGAATATTTTAAATTAAAATTTCATTGGTTGGTTAATTATAATTATTAAAATTTGATTTGTTTGTTACTTATAGGCCTAATATATAATATATAAATTTCAAAGCATTTTGGAAAATGGGTTTAATTATTGTATTGTATTGATTTTCTGAGAACTTTTGGATTTTCTTTTTGGTGGAACCTGATGGATACAATAAAGTAGCTATGTTCACCAAGAAATTTATGTACTGGCAGAAATTATGTGAGGAAAGGGAGCGACCACAGGTCGTTGGCACTTCTTGCCGCATATCCAGATGGATGCAATAAAGTTTATAAAGTAGCCTTAGTATATTATATATTAGTAAGTAGCTATGTTCACCACAAAATGTACGTACCAGTGCGAGCTGAATTCTTTTCATTGAAATTTAACATTTTTATCCTATTTTCGTTTCTCTCCATAAACATTTAGACCTACCTTTAATTTCAATGATAAATGTTAATCATTCATAATCATAATCATTGTTGTCTAATGAATCACTCTAATGAGACTAATGAACTCTAATGGACTAAAATGACTTCTCACATAATTTGACGTGACATCCTAATGTCATAATGTTTAGCTTTCAATTTCAATAATTCATTTTTTTAAATGATCTTAAAATAAATTTTGATCCATACCGAGACAATAGTAATATATTGTATTGATCAATAAATTATTCCACTATAACTAGATCTCGTCATGTTAGCGCTAGCCGCTAGACTTAAATTCCTAATAATGAAACGCCTCCGTCCTTACTTTATTCTTTATGTTTTGTCTTGTACAACTTACATTCGGTTCAGTGAAACTCACTTAAAACTCGGAAATGGACAGTTCACACATTTAGAACAAAAGTTTCAAAATCTAAAAGTTTTCCTATCACAGATGCTAAAAAGATCAAAACATAAGGCTTTAATTAAATAATCCATATACTCAAAAACTTATCAGTTCTGATTTTGTACTTTTTGTCAACCATCTTGTTTTCTTTTCTTTTTTTTTTCTTTTCTTAAAACAAGGGCAGTAACTACCACAATTATACCTACTTCTTATTTATTTTCCTAAATTGAAGAGCATTTTCAAGGCTATTTAATAGTTTTATGCGTAGCCTATAATATTCTATGCCACGATGTAACAACTTCAAGGCCACGCTAGATTTTAAGAATGATTCCAGACGAATGCTTTAGTTATGCTGGTAACATGGGCGCCCGCAGGTGGGGACAAGGTGGGGCACTTGCCCCCCCCCCTGAATTGATTGGATACAAAAATTTTAGAAAAAAATAGACAAAAAAATTATTAAAGTAAAGAGAAAATAAAGAGAAAGTAACTAAGCTGATGTCCTGTCCGTTCGTTCACCATACAAATACGCTACAGTAAATTAAAACTACATTAAAACATTACTAAAATTTTTTGCCCCCCCCCCCGGAAAGTTAATTGATTTTTTTTGCCCCCCCCCCAGAAAGTTTTCTGAGGGCGCCCATGGCTGGTAACATGCAATGATTACACAAATTAATTATCAACGCCATGGCAACGGTAACACGACGTATTAACAAAAAATTATCAAAGTAGCTAAAATGTTATGCCAACGCCTACACCATTTAAATTACTAATAAAAATCAAATAAAAATTAATTTTGCAATGCTTTCAAGTCAAGGCAAGGACTTTCTTAGACAACTTGATATCTACAATGGAAAATAAATGATTTGTTTCAGTGGGAGAACCTTCACAAATGCATAGACTCAGACTAATAAACATATTATAGTTATTAAAATAAGTTGTTGTTTTTTTTTAACTGCTCGTTTGCCCCCCTCTCCCTTCCTCCCACTCTTGGGGTCTTTTTCTATAAAAAGTAAGTTAACTGGTTAACTAATTGCTTTATAGACCTACTTTATAGCCCAAAACTTTAAATCAGCGGTTCTCAACCTGTGGGTCGCGACCCCTTTGGGGGTCGCACGACTCTTTCCAAAGGGTCGCCTCCTGGGTTTCTTTCAGCTTTATCTCGGGGGGGGGGCAGTGCCCCCACCCCCGGGGAAAGCCAAGTGCACCCCCCGGAGCAAAAATATGTCCAACAATAAATCAACTGGAACTGCTGGCACTGCCCCCCCCCCCCTCAGAAAATCTGAAGTGCCCTCCCGGGGGAAATTTTCTGAAAGAAACACTGGTCGCCTCAGACCATCTGAAAATAAATATGCTCTACAGTTATGAAGTAGCAAGGAAAATAAATTTGTGGCTGGTGGTCGCAACAACATGAGGGACTGTGTTAAAGGGTCGCGACATTAGGAAGGTTGAGAACCACTGCTTTAAATGGTTTAAACACAATTTTATTAAAATTAAACCCCGTTTAACTGATTTGAGCATGGTAACTTACATATTAAAAGATAGCGTGTTTAATTGACCAATGTCTTGAAAAAAAGTTGTTAGCCAGTGGTAGATTACAGATGGCCAAAATCGTAAATTATATCTATATAGAGAGATGTAGTATTATTAGAAAACCGTGCCGCGAAACAATGAAGATATCCACAAGCCGAATGTAAGATCAGAGCCGTTCTTAGGAGTTTAGGGGCCCTAAGCATGGAGCGTAGGTTGGGGGCCCCGGAATGGGGGGGGGGGGGGGGGCGCGGGGGGGGGGGGGGGGGGGGCGGGTCCGGGGATGGAGCTCCCTTGAGCTGCTTCCCTTCCCCTGCCTCCGAATTCAACTCAGAATAATAAATTTCAGGATGAGGAAGGTAACGTGAGTGACACAGTGGGCTGCAGTGCCAGTTAAAAAAAACAAACAACCGGGTGACCGAGGGCGCCTCACGTTCGGGGCCCTACGCTGATGCGCACTCAGCGTATGCCTAAGAACGGGCCTGGTAAGATGGCCACAACAGTTTTTTGCGTCATTTTTCGATATGTGCAGAAGGTGTGCACGACTGAGGTTCACGGTAGGTTACCTATAATAACAGAGGCAAATTAATGGGTTTTTTTTTAAATTAATGGAATAAAGATTTTTGCAAAATTAGAACATTTTAGATTTTAGAAGAAAAAAAAAATTAAAAATCGTGACGTCACAAATTGTTTACCACCCCCTCCCCCTGTTATAAAGTGTCACAAATTCTCGACACCCCCGTCCCTTATGAGCGTGAGGTAATTTTCGAACGACCCATTACTAGAGACTATACCCCACCACCCCCCAAAAAAACAACAACACTTGCTTAAACCAGTATGCAAGTAACCAAACACAAAAACCTTATGTCATGATAATAATTTTTTACCAATTTGAAGTCAATAACCCGTGAGTTCGGGTTTGGCGATCAGCAGCCCGATACTGTCAGCATTTTCTGTCTCTTCCGCCACGAGTCGTCTGCAACAAAAAGTTCACATTATTTGTGCAGGCAGACGACCGTTATCTTGCATCGCTGGCAACTCATCGGCACAAATGCGTTATTTCATTCATTGGTCAACAAGCTGCAATCAAACTGTTCGGTGAAGTACTTTTCTTTATCAAATGCTTAAAAATATTCTCAAAAATTACCAAGGCTCAAGAGCATACCCAGAGCGCAAATTGAACGGAGTTGAAACCCGATTTCCTCGAAGGTGTTAACCTTCTCCTCTTCTGCCACCCTTTACATTCACCCTACGTGTATTTTTTGTTGGACTTTCCACACACACAAACCCCCCCCCCCCCCGAAAAACGGGGGGGGGGGGAAAAAACAAAAGGTTTTCGGGGGAAAAGGGGAAAAAAAA